TATTAGTTTGATTAACTAATTAATCTATTAAATGTATATACATTTTAGTTATATATTAATGTTGTTGATGATTTATTTAATAAACCAGATTTCCACAGTAAATGTCGTCTTGTTGTCTCCCCTCCCCTGCAGAATGTCTGCATCACTATGTGCTTATGTGCTGGGTGTTTTTTTCAATTTCAGGCTCTCTTTCCTCGGCCATGGAATGAGAGTCTGTTAGGATTTTTTTTTTTGCCTCCTAATCCTATACATGTGTGACTTTCATTACGCTTGTGTCTGTCTAAACAGGTCTCACTTGTAAAGGAGTCTTCAAGGCTCAGTGTGATTTATCTGTATAAATAAAGATTGAATTGATGAAAAAATGCACACCAAAGAGGCTGCTAAATAAGTAGTTTTTACTTAAAATCATTGATCACATTTGTAAATAATTGGATTTCATTGTTTTAAATTTAAAAGAAGAATGAAGAATGTCTTATAAAGACAGGAAAGGAGATACGAGACAAACCCAGATGTTTGTGGAGAAATATTAAATTACGATTGATGTTTTTTTTTTTATCATTATATAAAAGTATGTCACATCATTTATTCTTAAACACACTGACAGCCTCATTCTTACCTGTTGAAGGCTGAAGGCGGGTTGGACTTCTGGTTCTGGACACGGGCCCCAGTGAGGAACCTGAGCCCTGATGACCGAGAGGGTGAGCACAAAAACCAGACCCAAAACTATCTTCATGGTACCAACAGAGCTCGTCTGCAGAAAGATGGACTGTCAGGGGTTTTTGTTTTTGTCTCTTTACTTGAATATAACTCCACAATAAACAATTATTAAACATAAAAATGTCCTGTTTTAATTATTTTCTCTCACCTTTTTCCCCAACTGGTTGTTCGGCTCCTTCGCTTCAGTTTCTGGTTTCGGACCGAGAGACGTTGTCCTCCACAAGACGTTAGCAGCTCCGAGTCAATGAGAGTCTTTGTCTCGAGGGTTTTTATTTAAGACACAAAGTTTGTTATTAGCTGATTGGAGTCATGGGTGACATACCAGCGGAAATGTTATAAAACAAACTGGATTCAGTGGGTGGGGGTGGGATGTTGTTCACAGTTTTTTTTTTTTTTTTTTTAATTCAATCTGGATTTAACATGATGGCTTTTTGTTGTAAATAAGGCAAGTCTGAAAGAGCTGAAAACTTGTCCTGCTGTGAAGGAACTGAGTCGAGTTAACCCTCTAGACTTGTAGAGAAGTTTGCGTCAGATCATCCGTCATCTCATCCGTGTCACTGATTTTCAAGATTATTTAAATTTGACGGGACTTCTTAGTGAAAATTTAAACTCAGCTCTGCTTTAGAGCAGCTCTAAAGTGACATACAGGATGTTTCTGTTGTTAACTTTACACTTTGTGCTTTTAGAGGTCGCCATTGTCAATCACGAGACCCGACCACAGTCTTCTGATCTCTTGCTCAGTCTGGTCTGTTCAACCTGTTTTGTCCACTGACTGAAGAATCGCAGGGATCCTTTTCTGCTTCGAGTCATTTGACTGAACTGCTCTCAGACAGACAGATTAGCATTTGGAGTTTCTTCAAGTGCATTAAAATAATGTTATTGTAAGGGATAGCTCTAGACCCAGATAGTTTGAGACTGAGAACAACTTCAGGGCCAGGATAAGGTTTAACAGTGTTTATTTACAGAAGTGAATAATAGTGAACAGTGTAGGATCTGTAGACCTGGAGGGACCAGTGTTAGATGGCTCCTCTGGGGAGATTGGTCTTGATGTTCAGATTCCTTACTATGAACAGGCAGTGTCGTCGCATGGGCGAAATCCAAAAGGTCTCACACAAACAATGGGCAAGTGGTGGAAGGAAGGGAACAGCTGGAGAGATCACTGGGAGCCTCGTCAGGCAAACAGGAAGGTCTGAGGCTCAGGAGGATCACTGGAGTCAAGTGAAAGGCAGATAATGCACCAGCGTTGGATTACAGTCATCATCTGCCTTCAGTACTCTTTGCAGCTCATCATGGGAATGATCCTCAGGTGTGGATCTGTCGGCGCCCTCTGGTGTAGAAGAGCTGCAAAGGGAAATGCTGAAACTCTTACAGCTATTAACTAACTTTTCTGTTATGTGAATGTTTCTGTTCAGTGCCCTGAGATAACTTCTGTTGTGACCTGGCGCTATAAACTGAATTGAATTGAATAATTTACCAGATTGTTATTTTTTCGTATCTTCAATAAGTATTTCATTTTGACCTCCATGACCCTATGGACACATTCAAAAAGTCTTCAATTTTTCCAGCAGATTTAGAGTTTAGAAACGACTCATTATGTCAAGGTAATTTCAGCATTACTGTTATCCTATAGGAGGTTTAAACAAAGAGCACTTTGACTTTCTGAACACGCGTCACATCTCAGGATCTGCCAAAGGTCTCCAAAAAGAAGTTCGGTTGCCTTTGGTTTTACTCAGGTTATCATATCTTGGATAAAAGAATCAGGTTCAATGGGCTTGTTTAGGAACAGAACAAGCCAGTTCTTTTTACAGAGCTGAGCCAAGTACGTCAGTCCACACTTCTTTAAGTTTCATCACTGAAACACAAACACAATGCTAACTTAAGCCCGTTCCTAAGAGTCTGAAGAAAAGCTGAGTAATATATAAAGACAATCTGGACGGGAAGCACGGTGGCACAGTTGGTAGAGCTGTTGCCTCTCAGCAAGAAGGTTGCCAGTTGAAATCCCAGTCCGGGACCTTTCTGGGTGGAGTTTGCATGTTCTCTGCGTGCATGCATGGGTTTTCTCCAGGTACTCCAGTTTCCTCCCACAGACCAAAAACATGCATGTTAGGCTGATCGGTAACTCTGAATTGCCCCTATATGTGAGTGAGAGAGTGAATGGTTGTTTGTCTCGTTTGTCTCTATGTGTCTCTGTGATGGACTGGAGACCTGTCCAGGGTGTCCTCTGCCTCTTGCACAGTGGCTGCTGGACATGGGCACCACCAGTGATCCCTGCCACCCAAAAAGGAAGAAGTGGGTAAAGATAATGGATGGATGGATGGATGGATGGATGGATGGATGGATGGATGGATG